CCTCTCTTTTGCCTTCCCTCTAACCTTCCCGAATATGACATACCTTTTTAAGGATATCCTAGCAGCATGTCCAAAGTATGTGAGATGATTTTGGATCTAAGTGAGATGAAGTTGTTGACAGTTTCAGTCTTCTCTCCAACTCTCATGATGTTGCCTATTGGTACAGTGGTGAGAATTTTTATTTTCTTGATAGTAAGATCTAATCTGCATTGAAGACTGTGGTCTTAGATCTTCTGCAGCAAGCGTTTTGAGTCCTCCTCACTTTCAGCAATCAAGGTTGTGCCATCCATGTAATGAAGATTATTGATGAGTTTTTGTCCACTCCTTCATGCCACATTCTTCACAGAGGAGGAGGTCGGGCCATCTCCTTCTTAAACAACAGGCCTCTGAAAACCCTATGAATTTTAGAGGAACAGAGATAGTTACAGTATTTTCATAAGTAGTATACCTTTATACATTACAAAGCAGAAAAAAAATAACGTGATGTTTTCTTTAAACAAAAATTTTTAGTACATTCAAGAGTTTATACTTTTTATCAGTGGGAAGGCCAAGTCTGTTAAAAAGCTTACCAGTCACATCAGAAGCAGAATAGCTCTTTAGGATTCTTGTGCATTTTTATGTCTCTGGTTGTCTGTCCTGTTTGCAATGTTAAAGGCTTGAAACAGGGTGGTCCTTTGCTTGTTCCTATTTCAGAAGCTCTGTTATCAAACCATTATTCTTCGTGGATGTGACCAGGCATGGATTTGTTATTCCCATGAATGAATTGAAAATACAATTTTTCCTTTTGAGGACATTCAATTTTTCTAGGGATTAACCTGTGTGAAATCTGTGCAGATGCATGCAAAATAGAGTTAGGGAAGTGCCTCATGGTTCAGCATACAGACTTTTAATTAGGCATTTTCACTGGTAGCCCAGGAGCTCATCCGTGACCTCAGTAGTGGCGGGCAATTCTGTATCTAGTCTCATTGGCCTAATTTTCTCAGAGAGGAATCCTTTTCAATTGCTTTGAGTGAAGGAGGCAGTTGCCTAATGGTGCCCAGGGGAAGAAGTCTGTGTAAAGACTCAACTGTTTATTAATCAAACTTTCTACTAGCCCTTTTGTTAATAGCTCAGTCCTCACTGCAGAATCCAGAAGTTCCTGGGTGACTGATGTTTTGAGCTTTTCTGAAGTCAGCTCCAACTCCACCTCACACAACAGCAACAATGTGCTCTGCATTCATCCTATTTTCTTTGCCACAGTATTATTGAAATATGGTTTGCTATGGTCTCCTCCCCTGTAATCTTTGTCCTTTTGTATTTGTGCTTCTTTATTTCATTTGGATGGAATTTTTGGAAGGGAATGAGTGCATGTTCTCCTTTCCCTTACGAATGTTGTTGTTGTTAAGTGCCGTCGAGTTGCAGGTGACTCATAGCGACCCCATGAAGGAGAGTTCTCGATGCTTGGGTGCCTTTCATCCTCTCTCCAGGTTCATAGGGTTTCTGGAGGCAAGCTATTACGAAAGTGGATGCCACTCCTCCTTCCAAGTTCCCTTATGAATAGGAAGAGAAAAACTTATAAAGGACCAATTTGAGGAGAAAACATTATTTTTTTTTTCAAATGAAAAATACCCAGAGTTTTCTCTGTAGGTATTAGGCTAGAATCTTAGCCAATGAAGAAAAAAACAAGAGGACTTTCTCTCTAAGCAAGAGGATCCAGTAGGTGAGGTTTGTGGTAATTGTGCCTGATTTAGAATCCCAGACTTCCTTAGCAATAAGGGACTAGTACATCTTTTAGAACAATGATTTCAACATTTTACCTGATACCTGATACCTGAATATAGAAAACTGATAAAGCTGTGATTTCCATCCCACCTCCAATAGCTATTTGAAGATATTTTGTAAAGGTTCTGACACTCCATTCTTGAGCTTTGTGCTTTCCCAGAGCACAGATGGAAAATTACTGCTTTATTGTCATTGTTACAAGCT